GCCCAGAAAACCTGTCCGCGCCGAAGCTATTGTATTTGAGAGGAGTGGAATGTATTCCCCCTAGTAAAGTATTTGGTTCAAGTCTCGCGCCACGACGATGAGATCATCCGGACGATTGCGCATCTCGTTGTAGTGCTAGTGCTACGCTGCTGAAAAAAAAAATTGTTTTGGTTTAACAGAAGATGACCGCTGACGCCGGGTCCAACAAAAGGATCTCCCAAGGGTAACTCGGAATCCTCGATGGCGACTACAATATTCTGACGCGCCTGACCAATACCACCTAGAAGACAAGGCCTGCGCATGACGTTTCGTTAGTAGATCCCCGACCCGCCCCAAGCGGCAAACACCCCGAAGCTTGACGAGAGTAGGGGCCGCGTCGCAACTACGTCGCATTCATTTGCGGCCGCAGCTGTGTGCGTGACTGCTGAGCGCGAGCTGATAGCGAGCTTCCAAGTGCATTTGCGACGTGCACGCGAACGCTCCCTCGGCCAAGAGCGCGAGCTAGCACGCGCTCCTTGCTTTGGGACGCGCATTTCTAGCGCGCGCGCTCGTTCTGCGGTAGAACGCTTCGAAGCAGCTGCCCGAGGTATAAACAGCGCCCTCGAAAATGGCGTCCAGTGTCAGCGTCCAGCGTCCAACGAAGGGCTTTTCAGCCCTTCGCGCAGCAGTAAGGCAATTTCGCTCATGCATTTGACGCTCCACGTGAACGTCTAACTTCATCGTATGATATTTGCAAGAGACACTCGGCGTGAGCATCTGTTTCATTATCTGTTACACAAACCACTGAAGCAGGCGATGGAGCAGACGATGTAGCAGACGATGTCGCTCATCCGGGCTAGCTAGGGGGCGCTGAGGGGATCTACTAGTGATGACGTTTAGAGGAGGAAACGCGCAGGCCTTGTGTTCTAGGTGGTATTGGCCTGACACGCCTGACAAGTAAATCGTTTTTAACAAAGAGGAAATGTCCCAGGCATGGAAGGTCGGGACTCGGAAGGACGCGAAGGATTACATGAACAAGCATCGTCGCTCGTACAGTTGCAGCTGGAAGCGCGAACGTGCTCCCGTGAACGGATTATCCGTGCCTTGGTTTGTGTGTGGGGGAGTCCGGCCTTGGCAGAGACGTATGCGCTGACGACGAGGCGACCGTTGGAACAGGCGCCCCGCTGCAAGGTCATTCCAGTGGCACCTTTCAAGGACCTTACCGCTGAGTCAAAACTCACTAAAGACAGACAACACGAAAACAGCAACAGCGCTCGGAGTGAAACCGTCTTTCATGGTTGCAGCTGGAAACGCGACGCCTGTGTGCATTACCGGATTAGGCCAATACCCGACCAAGTTGTTATATATCTTCCTGCATTCGTGCGCGTCGTTGTTATGTTTTGGCTGCCCGTCGCCACCTTGGACCAAGGACGCCTTCCCGAACAAGGGGGCCCCTTGTTCGGGAACGCCACTTCATCTGCCGGCGTCTTATTCATTTCTGCGCTCAAACTTCCGTTATGAGCAAAATTAGCACTAGATTTCGAAAGTAGTTAGTAATTTGAGTAGAAGTTACCTGAAAAAAGTAGTGAAATAAAACTACTAACTGCCCAAATAAAGTTGTAATTGAAAGTTACCGTTACTCGAAAAAGTAGTTAAACTACAGTAGTTTGAGTAGAGTAGTTGAACTACGTCCAAGTCTGCTTGAGAGGCGTCAAGAGCCAACCCCCGCAGATCGGAAGTAGCTACGCTGTCCCCCTGCCGTACCTACGCTTTCTCGGCGGTACCTATCTGGAACCTAGTCTCTACGCAAGCGTCCGTTTCTCTGGCAACCGGAAGAGCATTTTCTGCTTTTAGTCAAGTGATGGCAGCCAATCCCTTGCGGCGGGGACCTTCACATCGGCTCTATTTTAAAGAAACTTGCCAAATTAAAAAAATACACGTGTTCTATTGAAATAAACCACTGATTTTGTAGCTGTCCCAGAAAATATTAGATAGAGTAAACTCGCATAAAAGGCTAGAACAACATGCGGGACGCGGATGAGCGCCTAGTTCAAATTACTGGCGCTAATGACTGCTCAAGAAACAGGCGGCATCGGCCCCGTGTTGCTGATCGATTTATTGCGTCCAAATCATCGACACCTCGGAATTTTCGGTGCCAATCTAACGAGCAAGTCTTCCCGGTCACGGGGAGGTATCGGCAGTGAGTGAGTGTCGATTTTTGGCGATTTTGTGGGAGTTTGCGTGTTCGCCGGCCTGGTGGGGCCGCTAGGCCTAACTCGAGCACGTCGACATGGAGGATCCTCTCGGCGGTTCTACGGTGGATGTGGCCAAGAATGGCGGTCCGACGGTCGTCTCGATGGTCGGGGAGGATGTCGACCCTGATTTTTGTGCAGGCTGGATGCGCGCTCGGGCACGCGGGGGTACTCAGGTGGAGAAGGAGCCCAGGCCTAGTTCCTACGTGGCCCGGAACGTCATCGAGAAGGTCGAGCGCATGGGGAGGATGCCGAGAGTGGGACTGGAGGGCGAGAACGAGGTGGTGGTGAGGCCGCGAGGTGGCCTGGATTTGAGGAAGACGTCGATCGTCGTCGTGGCGGACGCAATCCGGGCGGCGGCTGGGATCTCGGAGGAGGAGGCCTCGTTGGATACGCAGTGCCCGAAAGTGCAGCAAAATGTGGTGGTCATCAGTACGGGGAGCGACGCCAGGGCGGTCAAGTATGCTGCGGTGACGTGTATCTGCGTGGCGGGGAGGTCCTACGAAGTGCGGGCTTACGTCACGGCTCCCTTTGACACCGTCAAGGGGGTGATCCGTGGCGTCCCGGTGCACCATACGGCGGAGGAGATTGAGCGACTTCTCATCGGGCCCAGGAACCCGACGGTGCGAGCGACGGAGCGTATCGGCTCTTCGGCAACGGTCGTGGTGATCTTTGGGGGTGACGTAGTGCCGCATCAGGTGTTCTACGGCGGGAGTGTGTTGCGGTGCTCCCTGTACAGGAAGCACTATGAGGTGTGCAAGACGTGTGGCCGTGTCGGTCATCGAACTGATGTGTGCCCAACCCCCGGCGTCAGACGGTGCTTGGGATGTGGCGGAACTCCGGACCCGGGACATGCGTGTAGTCCCAGATGTGGCTTGTGTGGGGGTCCGCATGTTACCGGGGATAAGGTGTGTAAGAATCGGTGTCGTACGCCGTACATCGTTCCTAGGCGGCTGTGGGAGAGAGCGGAGCGGGGTCTGTCCGGGGATCGGCCGTCTCCTCCCCCGCGGGGTTCTGCGGAAGAATACCCTAGGCTGGGAAGGTCTCGCTCGAGGTCGCGCGAGTCTGAGAGGCCGGCGGCACGTAGTCGCAGCAGGAGCACAAGTGGTCAGGTCACGTGGGCCCAGGCGGTGCAGTCTGATCGGGGGGAGGTTGCTAAGTTGCGTGAGGAGAATCGTAGGCAAGCTGCTGAGGTCGTGGAGCTGAGAAGGGAGAACAAGAAGTTAGTGAAGACCGTGAAGGAGCTGAAGGCACTGGTCGAGGGCTTGGTTCTTCGGCTGGACAGTTCGGCTCCTCCCTCGGGACCGGAGGACTCCGCCCCTCCCGCCAAGCGCAGGAGTGTGGAGGCTCGCAGACGTAGGGGGGAGGGTGTTGAGGACAGGTTTGAGGAGATTGAGGGTCGTGTCGGTCTGGTGGAAGACGGGGTGAAACAGCTTAACGAGAAAATGGATTCGATCATGAAGGTGCTAACGGTGATGCAGGGTACTTTACAGCGAAATTCAGAGGGACAATGGCATCAACCTTAAATATCTGGGTCTGGAACTGTAACGGTTTTAGGAGTAAGAGGGCCAGGTTACAGCAGTACATTAGGGGTAGGGGGGTTAAGCCGGATGTGATAATGGTTCAGGAGGTGGTACAGGAGGATGTGAGTCTCCCCGGCTACGTCACGTACCGGTCTAGTGGGGGTCGTGCGGGCCGCCGCAGGGGGGTCTGCACGTTCGTGCGGCGGAGTCTTCCGGTCCTAGTGCACGAGCTTAAGGGGGACGAGAACGTCGAGAGGGTGTTAACCGAGGTGTTAGTGGGTAGATTGGGGGTCTGTCTGTGCAACGTGTACAGTAATCCGCGTTTCGGCAGATAGAGGTTCAGGAATCTGCTGCATGGATGTGCGCGTTGGGCCGATGGCAGGGGCTTAGTCGTTTCCGGGGACTTTAACGCTAGGCACGAGTTCTTGGGCCACGCGGCTACCACGGTCAAGGGGAGGAATTTGTTCCAAGACGCGAAGGAGGTGGGGCTGATCCTCGTCACGGATCCGGGGGTGCCGACGCGGCCCGCGCGGAACGCGATTGAGAGGGATACCACCCCGGACCTAGCCTTCGTGGACGCTCCCGGGGCGGGGTGGCGGAACGCGCTGGAGGATCTGGGTAGCGATCACCGTTTAGTGGAGCTCTCGGTTCCCCTGGCGGTTCGGAGGAAGGAGTTCAGACCCCAGGGGTTGGTGAACTGGGATGCCTTCAGGCGGCTGGGTCCGGAGGGGGAGATAAGCGATTTGGGGGAATGGTCCGCGAGTTTGGTGGACGCTGCCAGGTCGGCTGAGCGGCCCGTGGTGGTGGAGTCGGAGGATGTGGGGCTGGTGGATAGCAGGTTAGGTGCGCTTGTCGAAGCCCGGGACTCTCTGCGGAGCCGTTGGCGGGAGCGGAAGAACAACCGTGCGCTGCGGAAGCGGGTGGCGCAGTTGAATGAAGATATTCGGAGGCACAGTGAGGCCCTGTCCAGGCAGCAGTGGGACGATGTGTGCAATAGGGCGGAGGGCAAGATGCATAGTGGAGACACGTGGAAGCTGCTGCGGCACCTGCTGGACGAGTCCAGGACGAGGAGCTTCCAGTGTGGGAGAATGGGGGAGGTTGTCGGTCGGGCTATCAGGGAGCTTGGTGAGGAAGGGCTTAGAAGGCAGTTGTTGGATACGTTCCTTCCGAGTTGCGGCAGGGAGGTCCACCCGGAGTACACGGGGGTTGACAATGCCGAGTTGGATAAGGATTTCAAGCTGTGGGAGGTTAGGGCTGCCTTGCTGCGGATTAATCGGAGGTCGGCGCCCGGGCTGGACCGGGTGGATAATAAGATGCTTGGTAACTTGTCTGAGGAGTGTTTGGAGGCCCTGCTTGATTTCTTCAACAGGTGCTGGAGGGAAGGGAAGCTGCCTGCGGAATGGAAGAAAGCCAAGATGGTTCTTATTCCGAAGCGTGGGAAGCCACCGGGGCTCCAAAACCTTAGGCCGATCTCGCTCACTTCCTGTGTGGGGAAGGTTCTGGAGCACATGTTACTGCGGAGGTGGCAATCCTTTTTGGAGGACAAGGGGGTCTTCCCGAGCTCGATGTTCGGGTTCAGGGAGGGCCTGGGGGCGCAGGACGCGATGTTGGTGTTGTACCACGAGGTGATTGAGCCGAGGTGGCCGGGCGCGGTTCTGGGTCTGGACTTGCGCAGCGCGTTTGATAGAGTCCGGCATTCTGCCATCCTTCGCGGTGTGGCGGATGCGGGGCTCGTCAGACGGAGCTATAACTACGTTAAGGACTTCCTGTCGGGCCGGACGGCTCGGCTGCTGGCGGGGGACTTGGATGTTGGTGAGGGGGAGCTGGGAAGTGTCGGCACCCCACAGGGCTCCGTCATCTCTCCGGTCTTGTTCAATTTAGTGATGGTGGGGGCCGCCCGCGGTCTCTGTGAGGAGGGGATTCCGCACTCTATATATGCGGATGATCTTACGCTGTGGTGCACCAATCGGAGGAAGGAGGTGGTGCAGGGTACGCTGCAGCGAGGGATCGAGATTATTGAGGAGGCGCTGATGGGTTCGGGGTTGGAGTGTGCTCCCGAAAAGTCGGAGTTGCTCGTGTGTTATGCTGGGCGTTGTAGATGGGATGAGATGCGGCTGATCGCCGGCGGGGGACCCGTCCCGAGGGTGGACGCTTTGCGGGTTCTGGGGCTATTTGTTCAGGAGAAGGCGGGTAATTCGGTCATGCTCGGGAAAATTCAGGGTAAGGTAGCGTCTGCTCTGCGCATGATCCAGAGGGTGACCAGCAGGAGGAAGGGTATCCGCGAGGCCGGTGTGATGAGGATGGTTCAGGCTTTTGTATTGAGTCACATCATGTACGTGGCGCCCTACCTTCGCTGGAGGGCGGGGGAGAAGAACAAGCTGGATGCCATGGTGCGCAGGGCTTACAAATCTGCGTTGGGGCTGTATGCCTTCACTAGCACGAAGAAGCTGGAGATGTTGGGTGTGCACAATACGATAGGGGAGATTGTCGAGGCGCACAGGGCTTCGCAGATTCAAAGGCTGGAGCGCGCTGCGGCTGGCAGGGAGGTTTTGAGGCGTGTCGGTCTGCTGGCGGAGGATGCGTCTGACGGCGGGGGACTGACGGGAGAGGTGATGAAAAATGTCAGGGTTAGGCCTGTGCCGAGGCACATGCATCCTGTGCGTGATAAGGGACGAAGGGAGGCCAGAGCGCAGGCCCTCTTCAGGTTGTACGGGCGACAAGATAGTACTGTATACGTTGACGCTGCCCTTCGAGGGGTAGTGGGGGTGGCTGTGGCTGTGAAGGCGGGAAGTGGGGAGGTGATCTCCGCTGTGAGTGTTAGAACTAGTAATATTTGTGAGGTGGAGGAGACGGCCATTAGTTTGGCGGCCTCCCTGCCAGGGACCAAAGTGGTCATGAGTGACTCTATGAGTGCGATAAGGAACTTTGCGCGTGGACGCGTTGGGGTGGTGGCCAAGAGGCTGCTGCGTCCGACGGGCGCGGTGGACATTGAGTGGTGCCCCGCTCACGAAGCGGGCAACGTGGATGCTGACCGAAGGGCCCGAGAACTGCTTGGCCGGGCCTTCGGGGGCGCCGCGGAGTATTCGCCCAGCGGCTTTGGGGAAGCGCTAAGGACCAGGAGGGAGGAACGGCGGGTGTTCCCGCTGCCCCACGGGGATTTGGTTAGGGAGGATGCCGTGCTGTTGCGGCAGTTGCAGGTGGAGTGCGTGTTTACTCCTGTGGTGGGGCGCTATGTGACGCCTGAGGTGTACTCAAATGATAAGTGCGTGCTGTGTGGTGCGCGGGAAACTGCGGAGCACGTGTTGTGGGTCTGTGAAACTCGGCCGGCGGAGGCGGCCACGTCGAGTGGGCTTCCGCCGGACATCAAAGCCGGGGTGATGGCTCGTAGCCTGGACCTCCAGGTAGCGGTCGTCCAGCAGGCCCGGCGTCTACTGCGCAGGCAGGTCCGACCTCGGGCCCCCTGCGCTGGGGCGTCGGATGGTGTGGGCCGCACCGGCTAGGCTTGACCTAGCTCTGCAGGCAAATAAAGACGTTTGTTCCTCCTCCTCCTCAAGAAACAGGCGGATGTGGCCTGTCTGGTACGCGGCGCAACTAAGCTGAGCCCGGCGCTGTCCAGAGACGACAAAGTTCGTCTCTGCATGGAACGAGCTAACCTCCCGGCTCAACTTCCTCGGGCCTCCAAGGAAGCCTCCAAGGAAGGAGTCGGAAGGTTGGAAACGCTACTGTGCCATGCGGGAGTCGAAGGCGCGTGCGCGGGCTACGGAGCTGGCGAAACAGGCGAGGTAATTTGCGTAGTTTACTCATAGTGTGGACCAAGCTATTGAATTACTTCCTTTACCCGCAGGCAAACAGGGGGCGGAGGCGCTCGGGTGCGCTCGCTGGCGTCATCATACTCACGTATTTTGGCACTGGTGGGCGAGGACTCGGCCCTGGGCGCTCCCGGGTTTTCTTTATTTGAAACCAAGAGGTCTGCACTCTAGCCACAACTTGCCGCCCGCCTGAAACTGGCCTCCAGGTTTGCCATTTTTCTTTTATCGAAATAAAGTGGAGATTTGGACCAGTTCGTCAATTGCAAACAGAAAAAGCGCCGAAAAAAAACACAGGGACGCAGCCGAAGGGATACAGGACAAGGTGCACTCTCAACTGAAGTTAAATTTTCAATAAACTTCAGTTAAGAGTGCATTTTGTTCTGTTTCCTTCGTCTGTGTCCCTGTGTTTTTCGTTTGTTTGTTTTCTTATATCATTGTTGATCTCAACATGCCTCTACTATGGAATCTGTCATGCTTCCATGTGTGACAAAACACACACGAAATGGCAGTGTGCTGAATTAAGTGAAGTGTAGTGTGAAATAATCTCTGTGATATATCCTGGATAATGACAAAGATGTTATATGGTATTTAATAGTCCATGCTCAATTTTAAAGAAAGTATTGCAACCTGTGCTTTCAAACATGTTTATTTTTCATGTTACGGCATTGTTGTAAAAAAAAAAGAAAGCACTTTCAAAGACACTGCTTGTTGTCTTCTTTATACATTCAAACTGACACAAATTCAATATGCGATTATCGAGTAATGCACCTGGCCCTGTGGTAACCATAATAGATTGTAAAATGGAACAGGGCAATGGAAGTGTAGAGAAAATGAATCGATGTCCAAACCCGATACGAACAATATATTGCAGTAAAAGAAGCAAAACGGGTCTCACCAGTAGTCTCATTGAGTTATCCGTTTCCTGCAAGGGCGAGCCAGATGCCCTGTTGGCTAGCTACATAACCCACGAAACATTATGTTATTGTTCCAGTCACCTTATGCATCCTTCTTGCAAATTAAAAAAAAAAAAAGCTCTATCAACATCACCGGGATGCACCGAATAGCATTTCGGAGGCGGTACTACATGTCCGTAAAGGTAACACGGTGGTTGTGCGACGAACTGCGCAAGGCATTGGAGTTGACACTGTGGAGCTTGTGGATGGCCTTGACTGTGGAGCAACACGTGAGGCACATACTGCCACAGCGGGCTTCTCTGGTGGCGAGGGCGTCAGTCGAGGTGAGGACGACGAGGGGTGCGCTGTCGCGGGTGGCGTCCCTGGCGTGTGGGAGTGCCACCGTGGCGAGGACGATGAGGGGCTGCCTGTCGCCGATGGTGTCCCTGGTGGGCGCGACTGCCATCGTGGCTTGCGTGGGGCTCCGGGGAGGCACGGCTGTGGCGGGTTCGGAACTGGGCAACAAGGCGCCGCCTCAGAGCCCTCCCCCTGCCCGAGAGGCTGACCCGAGGGTGGGCAGGAGCTAGCCTCTCGTCATCCGCCACTGACCCCTCCGAGCTCGGCCCCGACTCCAACCCTGGCTCGTGAGGGTCCGGTTCTGCCTCCCTCGATGAAAGGCACATATTGTGGAGCACTGCACAAGACGATATAATGACGGTGGCTGTTGTTGGATGATAATACAGAGTCCGGTGTCTTTGCAGACACTGGAATCTGCTTTTCAACAGCCCAATGCAGCGCTCCACAATGGACCTTATCGAAGAATGTGCCTTATTAAACCGGCCACAAGCGGTGGAGGTCGCGTGGAATCCAGGGACAGGGGTGATGAGCCAAGGTTCCAAGGCATAGCCGCTGTCACCTGCAGAGTCGGAGAAGGAAATGTATGATATTAATGCTGTTTTTTGTTTTTTTTAAAGAGTACTTCAACGACAGTTGAAATATACCCGTCGTGTTCAGAAATAGGCTGATTATGATCCACAATACCCGTAAATGACAATTGCACATTTGTATTTTGAGCTTCATGGCTGTATTTTTCGAAATAAACAGCCCACACTGGCAAGCGCTCGGAGAGCAGCCAGCTGAGAGCACGTCGCATCCAGTGCAATTGTGATGTAGTTTATCTCGGGATGAGCAAAGCTGCGGCGAGGCAGACGTCGTCAGGATGCCCTAGCTGTTCCAGCAACCAAAGCGGTCGAAACACGCCAGCGATCGGGCCACCACAACTAACCCCGAAGCTGCTTTTGTGTGAATTTTGAGTGACGGGTTAATCTTCTATCATCTTGGGACACACAAAAGAGAGTCCCGTCGAGTGTGGAATTCCTCCCTCCCCTTTTCTCTTCCGCTGGCCGTAGAGCTGTCGGGATGGCGTCAGGTTCAGAGCATGTACAGTTCTAGGTAAGACAGTTATCATCCCTACCTGTCAAGGTTCCTAGACGGGCATTACAGCTTTAGCGATATCTAGAAAATGCTCTTTGCTAATTGCCTAATTTATTTAAATGCCTTTAAGGGCCTCTTTTAATAAGATATTGATGAGTTCGATGTGATACTGCTCTTTTGAACACGTATAGACCAAAAAATAAGCACCGAAATTTCGTTGTAGTATCCCTTTAAAATTGCTCACAACTACGCAGGTAAAACTGCTGTTTGCAACCTTTCCCCCCTGCAGTTGACAGCTGCGTCGGAGTGTTTCCAAGGAGACGTGTCACAGGTATGGCCAGAGCGCATGCCAGTTATCCATGTTCGGAACAATATGTCTGGTATTGTAGCTTATAAGTGGTGCAGAGCCATCATGTACAGAACCAACAAATGGAGTATGCTTACCGAGCAGGAACCTGCGGTCGTCTATCAGCCGGCCTTGCTCGAAGTTGCTCCGGAGCCACGAGTAGCGCCACGCGAAGGAGTTGTGCACCGACCCAGGATACCGTGGGTCGATACTCATCACCCGGCAGTCGGCGTTACACACCTGCAATAGTGAGACATATGTCGACATTAATTGAACTGAATCCACAAACAGTTGATTGCACTCATTTTCATGGGGCCCTGTCAAACACTATTTACATTCTGACCAACACACCACCATAAATTATGTGGTTTACAAATTTAAAATATTAAGACAGCGCAAAAAAACGACGGAATATTGGATGAAGGAGGACACAGACAGAGCGCTGCCTGTGTTACAAAGATTAAAATTATATGATAAATAGCCACTACCTTTGATCCACGTAATAGTTTAGGCAAATTTGTTTTTTTCTTCAAAGGAGAGTTTACACTTTATCATGCAGGACAGGGACTAATGCTTAGAGGGACACTGACACCCCCCCCCCCCCCCCCCCCCCCCCCAAAAATTTTTTTTATTTTTTGCCAGGCGCTTCATTATGGTGTCGGAGGACTACCCAATTAATATTTTGCAACAGAGTAGCGTATTTTTTTAATGAAGCCAAAAGACGCAACTGCTCGAAACCGAAACCGAAACCCGACAGAGGTCGGAGAAGTGGAGAGAAGAGAGTGAGTAACTACACCCGACCGTGCGTTTTTTTTTTTTTTTTTTTCTCCTTTCCGTAGCAGACGACACGACATGCGGCGTGCAGGAACTGCTCGCCCTGCGATTCTTTTGCAGTTATGTTTGTTTCGCTCGTTGTTCTGTACTCCAAGATGAGTTGTTTTGTACATTGAGGAGTTGGAGATGAGTAGTGAGTGCCCGTGGTGAATTTCCATGATCGGCTCCGAAAAGAATACACCCAAGTTGTTGCGTGAAAAGCTGGCTCACATGTCCTGCATCCGAAAAAAAGTGGCATTGTGCGACAGAGTTTCCGAAAGATCAACGGGATCGGGACCAATGGCTGGCTGCAATTCCTTTAGAACATTTACGGGCACCTCGGAAAACGGACGCTACCTGACTTATATGCTCCTTGCATTTTGTGGAAAGTGATTACATTGAGTTCGCAGGTGTCAAAACGAAAATCCCATGCCATTTAATTCAACGAAGTATCGTCCACAGCATTTGTTTGTTATTTTTTGTTTGTTTCTTCAGTGATGATTGTAAAAAAAAAAAAAAAAAAGATATGTAAACAGCAAAAAATGTTTGAAAAAAAAAATTACGGGGAAACGAACCCGGTCCTACTGCGTGTGAACCGGACGTCTTTCCCACTAAGCTACTGGGCATCTCGATTCTTGAGGATCTCTTTCCTTAGTAATAATTCAGCCGGTAAACTGTAAGTTGGAAAGTTGGCTGTCGATTTTTCTTTAGCAAAAGCACTCCCGGGTCGAAGTGGGGAAGCACCACGCTTTGGGGACATTCGCACCTAGTAAAGAAATCGTACGCGTGCATATTCAACTCGAAGTAGACACGTCGTGCTTGACGTTTGCGCGAGCGATGTCTTCAGCCACGAGAAGGGAGCGACGGCTCGGCGACGTCTTCGTGCAAATCGGCTTGGTGGCCGGGCGTGTCGTACGGGATGAATACCAATTCTTTTGATCAGTCCCAAATTTCTGTTTTAACGGTAGACAGAATTCGCCGGTACCGCGAACGACAGTTCTGAGATAGAGGTCCCACGCCCGTCGTACGCTGCCATCGCCGTCCCCGCGAGACCCACGATACGCGAAACGACGAACGCACAGAATGCTTCCGGTTGTCTGTGGAACTTTTTTTTTTCAATCAACGTATTTACAGCTTTTTAGAAGCCACAAAAAATAGGTTTCATATTTTTTTTCTATTTTTAATATTGAGTGTGTGCCTTCAGT